GTATTTCCTCTGTAGTGATCTGAACAGTGAATAAAGAATTAATTTGCATTTATTTTCAGAAATTGGGGGAAAACATGGCGAGTTCCCAAGGGTGCAAGTGGACTTGTTTGTATTTATAAGTCAACATCAAGTTGATGTGATTAAACAGTTACTCTGTCAGTGACTTGGCCCTGTTGGCCTTGTTCTTTTCTCCATCTGGTAGGCAGGCAGGCAGATTAAATTTATGCTGCATGTTTATTTTCTTGAAGTAAAATGAGTTTTGTTTGTATTTCTAGGCACTATGATGTGGTAACAAACATACCAAATATATCAACTGTTTTAAAAAATGAGGATTTAGACAAAAAAAGAAGACATGCCTCCCAAGGCACTACACTTTATTTAAAGGAAATGGAAATACACCGTTTTGTTTTTTTTTTTAATATATGCTAATTTACAGACTTTAAAGAAAATTAAATTTATGGCTTAGCCTCTGAGTTCTGGAACTACCAGTTGTTTCCTGAAAGTGACTTTGTAATGAGTTTTGGGAAATCATTTTAGTATTGACTTGGGTCATAATGGTTGGCTGTTGCTTTTTTGAATAAGATTAATTAAATTACTCTGAACGAGCTCCAAGTCCATGTCCTTCTCCGAGGCCAATTGTGAATATGACCATAATAAGCTCCTAAAACATATTTCAGAAAGTAAATAATCTCCAAACCTGGAAGTATGTCAGTGTGCTCGTGTAAGAATAATGAACTGCATTTGATTAATTGTTTCAACATACATCACTTTGTTTTGTACCTTGCACTTTCCTCAGTTGTAAGAAGCAATGGTTATTTGGTTGGTTAATTTTCTGTACAACTACAGGAGACAATTTTGATTATGTCTTAAAGAAAGAACCAGATTAGAAGAAAGTGCATAGGCACAAATAAGGACTGGCAGTGGTACTTCTGATTTCAACTCTGAAATGTAGGACTCCTCTAGTTAGTTCTTCATACTCTAGTAAGCTCAAATGAAATAAGGGCCACATTATATCAGGCTCTTTAAAAATATATGGAAGTGAATGCTCTTAATTTACAGAAGCTTTGAAAATCAATGCCAAATATGCAGAGATTCCATAAACAGAGAGGTGAAAGGACTTATCCAAAGCTGCTTTATGTGCCTGGGCTGATGACAGTCAACAACCAGGTCTTCAGAGCTCCATGCCAGTGTCCAGTGAGCACTGCTGCTGCTTGGTAAGCTGGTCTGAAATATCTCCCCAAATGCTGCTCTGATTTTCCACAGAAATGGTATGTACTTCGAAAAATAAAATTAAAAACCAGTAAGACATACTCCAAGGAAAGCCACCAAAAAATGATTGGTGTATGTCTCCCATAGAACCACGGGCAAGGTAGACAACAAGAACTGGTGAAAGAATAGAAGCAAAAGGAAAGAAAATGGTAAAAGTTTGTTGAGTAATTTAGGATGAGCAGCTGCACAAAGTGTCTTAACAGTGACAGACCATCTGCAATCCCAGTAAAGAGAAAGATCAACAGCTTGTGTGGTACGAGCTTCCAAAGGAGAGTCTGCTGCACTTCTCACATCTCCTGTGAGTTCTCCTCTGAGATGAAATAGGTGAGCTGGGGAGCACAGCACTCCTGATAAAATTTGGTTCCGTAACGATGGAGGTTGCTAGGGAGAAAAGCCTTCTTATGCCGTAAGGAAGGATTTCTATTTCCTTGGCATTAGTTTCCTTGCTAGAAGTCCTGCTCTCATTCTTTAGGCCATAAGATCTGAGCAAGGCTGGTTTGATGGGCAGATGAAGGTGGCTGGCAAACGCTGTGAATTTTTCTTCTTCCTTGTTCTTAAGTGTCCTTAACTCCTGCTGACAAGAGTAATATGGAGTCTTGGAGATCTTAAATAAACAGGAATCCTGCAGGGTACAGGTTAAACTAACGCTGAAAGAGCCAGTAGCTGCAACGTTCTGTAATTATTTCCATGATCCCAGTGCTCTCTTGCTCAAGGCAAAAAGATTTGGATACCAACTTCTGGAGTGAAATATCAGCACTCCCTGCATCCTGTGCTCTACTGATGTTCCTTTTAGATCTTTAGAAAGAAAACTACCTTGCTCATCAAACTGATCAATGCGTAAAGGATGATTTGGTTGAGTAAATGCGGTAAGAAATGGCAACCTGTGTCAACGTTTTTTTTATTCTTATTTAATTTATATACTTGTGCTGTTTTGAGCTCTAATACTATTTTTACCTTCTACTTTTTTTTCTCTTCAATTCCTGGTATCATTGAGCTTCGAAAAAGAAGAAAAGTTTTCCTGGTAAATGTACTGGTTTATTTTGTATTAATTTGAATACATTACAGATAAACTGAATTTGCTGCTAGCCCACAAACACTGTGGACATGAATGCTCACTTCTCACTGATTTTCTTCATAGAATTTCAAACGTGTTTTACTATAAATGGAATCTCAGTTAAAGGAATAATTAGTATTTCTGTCTGTTGAAAATAATATTTTAATTAGCTGTAGTTAATCCTAAAAATTGGAGAATACTCCTTCATGTATTAACATGTTATTTTATATGTTATATTTAAATCACATTATTCTCCAGTAATCCCTGCTTGGTGGGATGGCATTCAAGCTCTGAGTGGTACTGACACTTCTTATACCTTTAAGAATAGAAAACAAAGCAGTCTCTTGAGCTCTTAATTTATCAGCCAGTATCTTGTTACATGTAATTTGACTGTGGTTTTTTTAGCAAAGAAGTAGAACAGCACTTTACCAGAAAAGCTGATTTCCTAAATGACTGATGTAGAAGCATGTAAGCATAAAGGAATACTAGACCCAGGACTTGAACCTCCAGAAGACCAAGAGAAAGAAGTTAAAACCCTTGCAAATACTGGGCCAAATACAGCCATATCACAGGCTAAGTCAAGTCTACACATGCCATTGGACACAGCTAAGAAGAAAATGAGCTTCAGCCACTGTGACTTTCCTCTGCTCTCTGAAAGGGCAGAGGTTCTGGCAGACAGAACTTAGCAGATTCAAGAGGGTGAGTCTGACAACAATTCACAGTGAGTAGACACGCATTAAAGCAAAAAAAATCTGTTGGCTATGGGGATTTTAGAACTATAAGCATCTCTGACAACCCAGTTGCATCGTTGTTTTCTCTATTTTAACAGCAGATCTTTTTCAGTAGGTGGTGTGAAAAGAATTGTTTTCGATTATTCTTGGCTACATTTTTTCCTACAGATTCTGACTTAATTAGACTCATTAACAAGACCAAGCAACATATTGTCTGTGGGAAAAGATTTCAGATGAGAGAAGACTGTTATACCATTTTATTCAAATCCTTCTGCCAGGAGAAAGAAATTTGACCAAAACAAGGAGGCTTCCAAGAAGTGGCTGCATTGCTCCTAAAGCTGCTTTTGGAGAGAAAAGGGTTTATTTTTGCCAAAAAATGCAATTATTTTGGTTAAAAATATCTGCTTTGCTTTCTAAAATGTATTTTGTCCACAAATATTGCTGCTGGTAGGTCTACTCACAGTGATCCTGCTAGGAAAGACAGATGCTTCAAGATAATTCTTCAGATTTTTATTTTCTTTTTTAGTGGGGACCCATATATATGTAGAGATAATGCACTGGGCAGCATCCTTTCCTCAGGTCCTGTGCCTGCTATGGGAGGCCACCCAGCTCTGTCACAGTGGAGGGAAAACAGAAAAACAAAAAGAACAGAGGAGAGAAAAAAGGATAGATGTAGAAAATTAATGCTCGGGAGAGGGATTTCTAGTTCTTTAAGGGATTTACAGCACACAGTCTATGGAAAATTTTCATCCACATCCAAACTGGTCAGAAATTTCTTTCAGGAACTGCCATCACTAACCCTGAATCAGCTGACAACAGCAGTAGCCTCTTCTCCCAGGCAACAAACAGGATCCGAGGAAATGGCCACAAGCTGTACCAGAGGAGGTTTAGGTTAGACATAAGGAAAACTTTTTCTCTCATATGATGGTCAGGCACTGGAGTGGCTGCACAGGGAGGTGGTGGAGTCGCCATCCCTGGCAGTGTTCAAGAGGCATCTGGATGAGGAGCTGTGAAATCTGGTTTAGTGCTTGTGGTAGCAGTGGTAGTGAGAAGACGGTTGGACTAGATGATCTTGTAGATTCTTTCCAACTTTGTGATTCTATGATTCTGTGATCATTGCCACACGCCCTTACTGCACAGGGGAGCCCTACAAACCTTCAGTCACACTTTATATTTTGTCTGTTCCTCTATTCAATAACCAAAAAAAGTGAAGTTAAATTTCTTGGATACTTTTAGAGTTGAAAATGTTTGTGAATTTTCAACTTCATACTTCCTGAAAAATCAGTGGTATCTCCTTTCTTTTCTTCTATTACAGACAGTGGAATGTAGAGGACAGTAGTAACCTTCATGTACCAATGGGCAGCAGCTGTTGGTGCCTATCCAGTTCTTTGCATATATCATATATGAAATTGCTGTTAACATACAGGCAGATGAGATTTCTGCTTCTGTCCACTTTTCTGCATGCCATCTCACTGAATTCTGGACAGCTTTCCAATTCATCAGGACCATTCTGAATCTTAATTCTGGCTTTGTGAATGCTGTTACACTTCATAGCTCAATGTGCATTGCAATTTATACATGAGTACAGTCTTACATGATTTAAGTTAATGAAAGAACTGACAGAACTCTGTCTGAAAGACCTTCCTACCTTTAGAGCTGAGTATTAAATTTCTTAGGAAGGTATATTTGCAGACACCTTGGTAATAGTGTTGATTAGTGCTAGTACGTATTTCCTCAGCTTGCTCGTATGACTTTTATTTAGCTTTACCAGGGCAAATATAGATGCCCCCTTCTGCTTCACATATCTACTAGGCGATTATTCTGCCAAAGAACATATTGAGTTGTTTTTTTTAACTTTTCCTCCAGGTGCTCTGGAGAAAAGCACTTTAACAAAATCAAACTGTATTTTATTTCCAAAGTTTTCTATCTAATTTCTGCACCATGGCTGCAGCCAAGGCTTGAGGATTTTATTATTGTGCCAGTGTGATTGTAGATATGAACAAGACAATTTTTCAAAGCAAGTATAATCAGCCACAGAATAGGTTTAATGCAGACTTCATTCAAGTTGGTCTTCTGGGAATTAATTTATACTTTGTACATTTGAGTGTCTTGCTTGAACAGGTATTTTTGTTACGATCTTTAATACAGTAATTTGATGAGATCATAAGGATTTACTTTGGAATTATATTTTTGCATATAGGTGAGGTATCATTCCACAAGCCTAAAATTTCTCCTCCATAATTTTTCATGCAGGAGAGCTAAAAATAATGTGAATTCACACAGCAATGGGGTCTTTGGGTCTCTTCACTCTCCGCCTTTTGACTGCTAATAAAAAAATTTCAGTGGAAAATCTGTGAAGAAAGGAGAAGAGTATGGGTCTATTTAAGAAGTAAGAATTTCATTACGAAACAAATTCTGGATTCCATGCACTATGTTGAAGTTTCTTTTGTCCTTTCCATGTTAATTTATATTCCACTCTGTCCTAGATACTATATAGTTCTTACTCTAAAACTGCTTTCAAAAATATAGAACATTGTTTGGGGGAAGATTTTTGTTCTTCTTTTCTGCTGAATATATGATGAGAATCTTGAATAACTCCTTAAGGAAACGCATTTAAAGAGAACTGTTTTTAAGGTGGGGAGGACAAGCACTGGAGCAGCTGCTGAGTCATCTCCTCCTACCAGGAGGGCATCTTCAGTAAACCAGAAAGCATGTCAAAGTCAAACCAATGCTTTACTGGCATAGCAAATCTATCTGGGATATCATCAGATGGCTTCCTGACAAATCTTTGGGGGGAGGACAAGATAATTAAGGAACTGACTGTAGAATGTGAGCTGTTATCTTGCGTACTGAGCTCAGTGGAGCAGGCAACTTGTAAATGTCACCGCCAAACCAGATATTTATTAGTTTGAACTGACACATTCTAACTTTTCCATAAGTAGTGAGAAAATATTCTCCATCACTTGAGACATTTTAAACTGCAGCAGATTGAATGCAGCCTGAAAGAAATGTTCTCTTGAGCTGATTGCTCTTATGGTAGCTAGGGGAGTGATGAGGTGATGTGCTTTGTTTCGTCTTCCTTCCCTCTTCCTTTCAGCTTCTGTCCTGTACTTTCCTGCCACCACCTCCAAGCTGCTGCTGTTTTTTTCTACAATTAAATTTGTTTCCTTAGCACTATAAGGAAAGTGGGCAACATTTATATAATATCATGTGCATGAAGAATAGGAAAACATAGTGGCTAGAGTACAAAACATTCAGAATATTTTTAAAAGCAAATATTGACTTTTTTCCCTCCTTGCTCACCAGCTGCAGATTATACTGCGAGACTCAATCAGAGACTCATTCCCAAACTGCCTAGATGAAAAAGACCCCTAGGCTACTTTGCTTATTGCTGTAACTGTCTGGAATTGCTTTGTGCCATATATTTAAGTACTATATTCAGGCTAATTTGCCATAACTTTTCACCAGAAAGCTATCCCATACCATGGTAAATCTACCAACCAATCCTGTCCTTGAAAACTCCTTCCACATTTTTCATTTGTCCATTTTCATTCAGAGCCAGAGGTGCTGCCTGAAATATTTAGAAGTTGACGACCTCAAGCAGGCACCAGAGAATGCTGTCCAGGCTTCCCCTCTCTGTTCCTTTGTTCTGTGGAGGATCTGGCATTGTAATAAAAATTCCAGACAGGCAAGCAAAACCGATCTGTACGACAGGACTATCTCCTGCTTTCATCTCTTGGAGATAAAGACAGACTTTCTTACCTCTAAGTTAGGAAAGGATTATCTAACAAGCATGAAAGGAGAAATGTCTTGGAACACCGCTGGTCCTACCGTACTGAATTAAAGAAAAGCCTTTATTGAATACACTGAAGAAACGGAATTTTAAAATAATCATTTCACAAGTATGGTCCATTCAGGTGAATAGGCCTGCTCTCGGGCCAGGAGGACCCTGCAATAATTCAGACCTCATTCTGCAGCACAGAACCCAGCACAGTCTCGTTCACCCCCATCTCCCTCTTAGCTGTGCCTGCAAAGTGTCACTGCACAGGGCACAATGACTTATGAATTGTGAATATGTTCATATCTTGATTCTGTAAATGCTCAGTCACTTGTTTGACCTTGCCTATGACACATCACTTGGCCCGTTAAAAATAATGGGAAGTTTTCTGTCATTTGCAAAAGAGCAGATGCAGATGTGAGATAAAGTGAAATTTAGATTCAAAGCTATTCAGAAGCTTGAAAGTTCTAGGTTGGAAGCTATTTTGGAACTTCTTTCAGTTCAGCTTTAGCTCTGGATTGAAATTGCAATTCTTTGCCTTTCTCATCTAGATATTTGAGATAGCTTTAATGTGGTTTGTCAGATAATTTTCAAATAGTGCTGCCTTGATACAGGAACTGAGTCCTGCCTTTACAACTTTTAGTCAAAACCCTTGTAAATGTCACTAAAAATATTAAAAAACACTACTATTTCCATAAGTGATTATGAAGGTGTGCTGCACTGGAAAAACAGTACTCTTTCAGCTGTGTGCATTATCATTTTTGAGCTCTGCAAAGTAAATTCTTGGTTATCTCTCCTTATTCCACACAGCATGGTATTAATAGCCTGGAGCAATCTCTGTGTGCCCTTTCAATCAGAAAAATGTCCTGATTTGTATACTTACTTATGTAGCATAGGCCAAGCTGAAGTGCAAATTTATTTCCTAAGGAAAAGAGATTTAATGTAAAAGGTGATCTGCAAAAGTTTTGGTTTTAGTTACCTTGGATGAGCGCCAAGAAATGTAGCTGCTTATTCAAGCAGGTCTTAGCTGAGATCTGCAAAGTCAAGGATGGCAGGGAGGTAAGCAGGCAATATTCTGCTCTCAGATTCCTTTCTTCAAGGTCTGGGTATATACTAGGATTAAAGTAGGATTACCACAATAATGATCGAGCCCACGCTACCAGAACCCCATTTTACAGTGCCCAGCTCAGAGCCCTCACTTCGTGTTCCCCAACAGTTCCACGCCTCCTTCACTGAGATTCACCTTTGCAGTTCTCTTTCTGATACCCCAATCCCTCCAAGTTAAAATGTTCAATTCTTCCTGCACTTCAGCTGCACACTTCATTGCTTGTCTAGAAAACAAAAACAAAAACATAAAAATGTTAAGATATATATTTACTGGTTTGTTTGAAATCATGGCATTCCCCATCTTAATTAGTGTAATTCCTGAGCTTTGAAAAGACTGCAAAAAATAGAGAGAGGATGAGTGAGTAAACAGCATAGTCATCAGCTGCTTGTTTGGAGTGCAGAGAGCTGCCCACAACGTAAGCTGTGCTGAGAATACTTTCAAAGATGAAAAAGAGGCCCATAGAAAAATAGCTATTATCTCAAGTAATCTTCAGCCCAGGGATGTGTTTGTGAAATAACTTTTGGAGACCTTTGGTAATTCAGCACCTCAGCCTCTGGTCAAGGATGTACGAGATCAGAAAGGAGGTGTTCATAAGCCCTTTTGAAATTCCATTCTTCCATAACAGCAGGACATTACAATGTATGGTGTACGACAAAGGATGGATTACTATGTGATGACCTAATGATTATCAGAAAAGGGGAAAAAAACACTGCACCATCTCTCTGTAAGTTTCATTTATCCATGAAATAATAATTGCTTCCATATTTGCATTCCATTATACAGAATAGCCTACCTTGTGACATACCAGCACAATAGTACTGTTTTATTTATTTAGGCTGGATGGTTTGCTTTTCATAGTATGACCAGCCGGTAGAAAAATAGGATTCAATAATGCGAACATTTCACAGTAAATAAATTGCATTAATACAACAATATAAAAGCTGTGCTTAGCAGTTTTGGTAGGACAAGGTCTACTCTAGAACAATGTGTACAGCTTTCTTAACAGTCACTCTGAGAGCTATGAAGTTACATTTTTTAAATATGAAATATTAGAAGAAGATTTCTGTAGAATTTCCACTTACTTAGGATTCTATTTACTTCTCCCCATTGAAAAGAGTTATAGGTTCAGTCGGCTGCTTTCAAGAATAGCTCTGTGGCTCTATTTCTGGTTCATATTCACTGTTGTGGGGTCCTATGTAAAATCTTTCAGTGACTAAGGACCACATAAGGAGCAGAACTACATAGCCATTAACTAATCTTCATGGTCACTCCATCCAAAGATAATCCACACCCACCTTTCCAAACTAAGACTCAGAAAGGTTCTTTTAGGATTAGATCTATTGACTTGATTGCCTGACAGATTTAAGATTTTTTGCACAGATTCCCAGCTCCTTCATAGGCTGACACAGAGGATAAATGTTCTTTGCTTCACTGTTTCAAGCTGTAAGAGTGACTGGGCCTTCTGTCCTTCTTCTTTGGTCATCTCTAGCTCTAAGATAGCCACAGCCTCAATTTAAAAAGTCCTTTCTGTAGTTTGCTGATTGCTTCCATAGCAAACTCTTTGCTTCCACAGCCTAAGCAGAACCTATACGTGGAATGTATTCTAAATCTCCATTCAGCACTGTCACCTTTAATATTGATGCACTGCTTACAGAGGAGATATAAATATTTGACAATAAATGAGACACTTGGTGTCATGACTTTGTGCCTTATGTCACGTGCTATGAATTGACACCTGACATCAAGTGATATGAATTGGCTCTGATTTTGTTCTAATAGTCAGTGGTGTGTCTTGTGGCAAGGGAGACTTTCCAAAATACACTCTTTGACATTGTACCTACCTTCTCTGTCTCTCATGGTATCTCATGGAGTACTTTGGACTCATGGCCCAGTGCAGTGCTGCCAGTCACTTCTCGTATTTTACTGACAATCTGTGCCAAACTCATGCTATTCAGTTATGATCCATCAGAGAGGGACAGTGCATTATTTTGCTGGCACAGAAACTTGTTTGGCCACCATAAAATGATATTTTATATATTGCTTAACAAATTATTTGAGTGTTTTGTTTGAGCCTGATAGAAACACTGGACTCTTTTGGTATGAATGGAGTATTGTTGTTGAAGGAAAGAATACAGCAAGGTCAGATCCTTCTTAGTTTGAAGAGAAACAAAACAAAAAAAGAAAATGCTTGCTTTTAATGCTGCCCGTTGTCCTCTTTCTCCTTGATTCCTTTGCAACAACTGCAATCTTTTTTTCCTGATCCAGCATTGAAGAAAAAGAAGAGCCTCTTGCATATGGTTGTTTTTCTTCAGCAATTACTTGACTATTTTGGTATTTGTAAAGGTATCTTACAAAGATACGTTGTTAACAAGAAAGAATAAAAGCAATCATGTCTTTAATTCTTTGTATCTGTCAGCACTGCAGTTTAGTAGTTTAGGACTTGCCATTCTTATCTCTGAACGTGTCTCACCAGTGTTACTGCAACCCATGGGTCTGTGAGTAGTAAAATTACAGAAGAAGGTAAGGTGAGATTCTAAGCCTTTATGGCCTTTGATAGGAAATACGATATTTACTGTTACATGTTTGTCCCATTTGTCATTACTTTACTGTCAGTGGTTTAGCTATAATGGATATGCACTGTCCCAAAAGAAGGTATAGGTATTAATACCTTGTGTATATATATTACAGTATTTTATTTTAGGGTTTGTGCTGATGTCTTTTTTCTATATAATACTTGACACAATGTAACCAATAAAATATTGTTTCAAACTACTTATGTCTCTTTTTAAAGAATATATTTCTTCATGCTTACATAAGTATCTGAAGCACAGAGCATGAAGCCATAACAAAAATCCGTAGCAGAAAGTGATGCAAGTCATTTTTCTATTTTATCCCTCAATAAAAATAATGTGCACACTTATTTTCTAAACGCACTCATTTCTATAGTGCACAGACACTGACAAACTCCCATTGTTCTTTCTTTACGGATATGATTTACACAGGTAGACCCAGAGCAAAATAAATACGTAAAATGAAAATACTGTTGCTATATTTGTATTTATCATTAACAAGACAACTGCAGCCTACATTCTCTCTTGATTATAATTAATACAAAATGGTAGGAATTATAACAAACAAAAGATTTCTTGCACATTATGCATGAGATTTGAATTGATTTCATTCTAATCCTCTGTGACATCCACACAATAGTCAGAAAGCTTGAAGCAATTAAGTATAATAAAGATCTAAATATGTTACATTTCTTTTTCAGCCACCGCTAAATTATAACCTTAAAAGTGATGGGATTTCACCAGTGTCAGCATCTATTGTTCGTAAAGGAATCGGGGAATGTATGTATCCAGTTTTAATTATACATAACCTGTAAGTCTATTTTTATGTATATTTGTTGCCTCTTCTGCATAAGGGCAAAATGCAGAATTTCCTCACAGTACAGTCTTGAAACACCAGTTAAGCCAAAGCAGAAGGGGTGCTTGACTAGATCCTTCATCCACGACCAGCGCTCCCCAGCTTAGCTTGATTCTCCTTCCATTAAAGCTGCTGGAAGTGTGATAAGCATCCTCAGGTGAGGATCTGACCTGCAGTTTTTGAGCAAGAACTTCCTCCAATACAGTAACATTTCAAAGCATCACTTAGAAAGTCTGAGGCCTTTTGCAACAAACACTTTTTTCCCTGTCACACCATCCTCCTGCCTAATGATTCTTCTGCTGACAGTAAACTAAATATTGAACACCCTTTAAAAAAATCTGCCTTTTTACTTTTGAAAGAAATGGATAAAATGTCTAATTATTTGAATAATCAAGGGAATGAATATTTGATCACTGACATCAAAGATGCAGACAAAATTCCAGAGCTGAGGTATGTGTTTAATATTGCATTGCTCATAACACAAAAATTTATAATTTCCTTGAAAATGTGTTTGTTAAAGGTGCTTTAGCTCTTGGAACAGTGGAATTGAGAAATATTGGGAATTTAGCCATATATATTTTATCACCCCAAAATTCCAACAGTGCTACTTGACAAGCTGTTCTATTAAAGAAATCAGTGAATGAGTGAACGATTAAGGAAAATAACCTGAAATTTGGACACAGTTTAGTAATGGTCTGAAGCTCAACTAGGCATGGAGGCTAATATTAATTGCTACACAAGCATGGAGGATTGTCCTTTGTGAATGGATTTGAGTGAGAAATTATCCTTGTCCCAGCTTGGGAGTTGCTGTTTGCCTTTCTCTCCCTGACAACTAGAAGATGTGCCAGTTTAGTCCTAATCCCTCATTCCTGTCTCATCCCTCAGGGTCCAGCATCACATTTAGCTCTGATCATGAACAAATACACTTTGACTTTGACATGACCTAATACTCAAACTAGCACTAGATGGAAAAGAAGACAAGCAATTTTTTCATGAGTTTCAAACACACCTTAAGCAACTCCAGGATCTTCCATCAAGATAACTTTCCAAACCTTGTGTGTTTACCTACCTTGACAGTTGTTCAGATATCGTGCTATTTTGGTTTTAGATTATTTAAATTAATGCCTGCTCTCCCACAAGGTACAGGTGATTGCAAAGGCAGAAAAGTCACCTAGTGAAGCCTGAACTGACCTAGGAATATGGACTTGGCTCCCTGGAGTAGAACTTCAGTACAGAAGATCAAACTTGAGATTCACCTACCTCTCAGCACAGACGTGTTTCAGGACGAAGTTTGGCGTGCAGGCCCCTCTACTCAAGCAGAACAGTACATGACAGATGTATCACTGCACAGTGACATCCGAGCAGCATGCCACAAGGTCAGAGCCTGGTTCATAACTCACTCTATTATCTGTCTAATCCATTCCTTATTAATTTTACTACATGCATTTCCTACTGATTATATATCTTGTCATGCATCTCCAACTGACTTTTAATCTCCATGATTTAATCACCATTATGGAATCACTGGGTATGCCCAAGTTTTACTTATTAGCAAAAACACTATGTATTTTTTAGTGTTCTATTTGGAATTTTTCCAATCTGAACATCCTCACTGTGCTGTCTCTTAGGTATCTGTGTCACCTCCAGTACTCTAACAAACTGCAGACATTCTGTTCGTTAATCTACATACCATCATTTCTGGTACAAAGCAATCACATTTAGGCTTTCTGAAAGCAATATAACAATATTTCAATCTACAAACTAGTCCAGATTCTCAAACTGAAAATACATTTAGTC